CGGACTATAGTCTACTCTCATCACACATTTCCCATCCTGAGAGGAACCTCCCAATACCCTTTATTTGGTGCTCCCTTCTCTATCTGAGCTCCCTTTTCCCCTAGCATGTGTGGCTGGCCTCCAAGCCATGGAGTAAAATTCCTGGTACTAGTCTCGGCCATTCTTGGGTGCTAGTCTCCTATTTTGCTCCTTTATGTTCCCCTGATGAATGCAATCTTTCTATGAATGCCGACTAGTTGTAGTTCTTAAAGCTATTCTTGCAAGGGTGGCACTCATTTAGTAGTGGAACTTGTGCATTATACTTGCAGCCCCTGTTGAGTGCTCACACATCTGCCCTACGTATGTGTGTGCACAGTCCTGGCTGCAGTGCTTGCACATCTGTAGTTGCACTGGTTCATGCACACCTGGTTGTGTATCTGAATGCACACTCTGTTACAGTGCTGGGCAGTGGCGTTTCTATTTATCAGCGCTGCTAAGACCATGTTCGATGTGGTACCACTAGGGATTAAATTCGCGCCTCATATTTGCAAGGCAGGTGCTTTTATCACTGGCTTTAAAATACATATTAAGGGGCTGGAGCAATAGCACAGAGGGTAGGGCGTTTGCCTTGCACGCGGCTGACCCGGGTTCAATCCCCAGCATCCCATATGGTCCCCTGAGCACCGCCAGGGGTAATTTCTGAGCGCAGAGCCAGGAGTAACCCCTGTGCATCGCCGGGTGTGACCCCCCCCAAAAAGCAATAAAATACATATTAAGTTACAAAATGAAGCCACCAGTGCCATTTAATTGTTAAATAGAAATACACTTTAAAAAGGAAAACTAATCAGTTTTTATAATTTTATATAATTTTCTTATAATTCTACTGTCATGTTAAACTTTAAGAAGCTTGCAAATAAATACGTATTTCCTTTGTGTTTAAATACACACATCTACACACAAACCAACATCCTCATATTCTCCTCACTGTCATCTTGAACAGGACTTTAAAAAAGATATGAGCTTCTAAAAATCTATTTAGAATTGATCTCACTCTTAGAAAGTACCCAGACACAGAAACTAAATTCCATACAAGAAAGCAGACTTATCTGAATATGAAATCAATCTCTTGGCAAAATACTTAATTATACCAAATTTCTCCCTCCAAAACTCAAGAGTGTTAAATTATTTATAGAAATAATTAATTAAAAAACATCAAAACCATGTAATCTGAATCACAAGGCCAACAGGTATACTAAGCATTTTCCCCCCATTTTTACTTTTTATTTGACTTAGCATTGATTCACGGTATTTCAGGGCTTTACCTTCCCACCTCTTTATGTGTATAATTCTCACCACTCCAGCCTGCAGAACACCAGTGCTTTCTAACCCCAAGGAGCTTCTCTGCTCATTCTTCCCACCCTCTCCTTCCCTGCTGGAAAACTCCATAGTTTTCACTGAATCTAAGAGTTGGTTTTGCCAATTCATTTGCTTTAATAACTCATATTTCCAAATGTGAGTGAACAATCTGATAACTGTCATTCACACTGAGGAATGTTTTACTACAAATGAGACATCAGCCAAGAAGTCAAACTCTTTAACATAAAAACAGAAGTAAAGAAACTCCTCTCTCTCTCTCTCTCTCCCCCTCCCTCCTTTCTCTCTCTCTCTCTCTCTCTCTCTCCCCCCTCCCTCCTTTCTCTCTCTCCCTCCCTTCCTCTCTCCCTTCTCCCCCCCCATACGCCAGACAAATTATCTGTTTGCAATACAGATACTGAGAGGTTATCATGTTTGTTCCTAATAGTACAGTTTTAACGATAAAATAAAATAAAAACAGAATCTTTGAAAGTAATTTTAAGAAAAAAAAAGATTTCAGAAAGGTCACATTAAATTTTTCTTAAACTTATATTTTTTTCTTAAAATCATTTTCTTAAAAAGTCATATTTTTCTTAAAATTATAAATTTTTCTAAAAGTCATATATTGTAAGTTTGTTTTCAAATTTTCTTTTGCATCTTCTTCATTCTTTACTACTTTCATTGATTACATGCATCATTAGTTTAACAGAATATAGGTAGTAGTTAAAAAAACAAAAAAACAACAGGTAGCTAGACAAAGTACAAGGGTTACAGTGCTTTCCTTATAACTGTTGACCCCAGTTCCACTCCCAGCAAAGACAGAATCCTCACAGCACTGCCAGGATTGATCCAAACAGAGACAGCCCTGAGCACCACTGGTATTGTCCCCTTCCCTTAAAAAAAAAAAAGGCCCTAATAAAGAATCAAAAAGGAGATTTTATTGATGCTCACATTTTCATATGCAAGGAGAATGTACCACTATACTATGTAATGTAGAAAATTGCCTCCTTTTAAAGAAGATTTAAAGAAGCACAATTTGGATACAGAATGTAAAAGATAAACTGCTAACAACCTTATACCAGTTTTCAGATAATAATCTGAAAATGAAACTAATATCACTAAAGGCAATGAAATAATTTGGTGTAAAGGATAGGTTCCCACACGTAACTGCTTATTTAATTTTTTGAATATCCTTTTCAATGAATTAACTTCTTTGCTTGTCTACAATTTACAAGTACCTTATTAAGAAGCATGGTTTCTCTCTGAATTATTTTTTTCTTTTCTCTTTTTATTGACTCATGGTGAATTACAAAGTTACAAGATATTTATGATTGAATTTCAGGTGTATATTGTTCCAACATTAATCCCGTCACCAGTGCCTTCCTGAGTTAATTTTGCTAAAGAAAAAGCAACCCAAAATAGTTCACTATTGATAAACAGAAGAATACTGAAAGTCTATTATTCTTATTTCTAATTCAGGAATAAATAAAAACAAAGAGTAAATCAAATACAGGTCCTCATTTTTGAGATTCCTTACTTCTCTGTTTCTGCGATTTCTACTGTTTTTGTCATTGCTATAAAATGTATAGACCCAGTTATTCCACCTTGGACTTAAATTTGTTCATTTGTAGAATGATAGTAACATTTAATCACAAGATCATGCTGAGGCTTGTATGAGATTAGTGTACATGAAAGATCTTTGAAAGTTTAAAGCCTAATATGAAAGAAAATAATTGCTTCTCATTCATGTTTTCAGTTTGGGGATGGGGCAGAGGTCAGGGGTGGGGAGGGAATATGGGAACACTAGTGGAGGGAAGTTGGCACTGATGGTGGGATTGGTGTTGAAAATTATATGCCTAAAACTCAACTATCAACAACTTTGTAAATCACAGTTCTTTAATAAAAATAATTAAATAAAATAAACACAGGAGGAAAAAATAATGGCTTTTGTAGTTTCCACTCTGCTTTTTAGAATTTACTGTTCTTGAGATCTAACACTTAAAAATATTATTCTATGAATGTTTTAAATGAAGGTTTATACTGTTTGTGTGGGACAGGGGTAAGAAGTATCTGTTTAATTCAATTACACATATTTTATTATTTTGGGTTGTTATTTTACTATTTTTATTATTTTTGGTATTTAACATAGACTAAATACATTTTTAAAATTCCTTTTTCTGTTTTGGTTTGGTATTCTCTAAAATAAATCTTTAAATAAATAAGTGCCGCTCACTGAGAACTTCTATTTTTATCCCCTTCATATGGGAAGATTCAACAAAGTGATCTCTAGAGACTTCCCATTTCTAAAAATTCTTTGATACTACATTTGAAGCACATAAATATTCTACTATTGATGTATAATTGTATAATTTTATAGTTAAGAAATTTAGGCAAAAATTAGCTTTCTCATTTCACAAAATAGCTTCGGGTTAGAAGACTTAAAATAGAGAGTTACTAAGAAAACTGGGAACAGGAAGGACCCAGCCTGATTATCTCACATTTCCTCTATCAGCTAATGTTCACTATTCGGGAGATTTAAAACCTGAGTTCAGATTTAACTACAGCTTAAGCAATTACCCTTTCTTAGCCACTTCCTTTATATTAAAATGTGCATATTAATTTGTTAAATGTAACTTAATTGCTGGTAAGTTCAATTAACAATGTTTACATTAAATGACAAAAAAAGGAGTACAGACTGAACTGTTTAACATACATACAACTGGCTTGCATGGTATGCAATTTAAGTCAGTATGATCCAAATCCTATCTAACTTTTCCAAATAGTGAATTTTAATTCTGCTTGTTTACTAATTATATAATCATTACTTCTCTTTGCCTCAGTCTCAACATTAGAACATGTTTATTTCCCTCGTTACTGTGAAATAAATGAGCTAGTTTAGTTTTAGGCCATATGATATTGTCATTTAGTAAGCACTCCATACAGGAGAACACTCTCTTAAACTTTGGAAAATACAGAGTATTTTTCTTTCCATTTATCAGAAAGAGTCCTAAATTAAAGGAATATTGGGTTCTGACCCTCAATTTTAGTTATCAGCAGCTGTACAATAGCCAGCTTACATAAAATGAAAGGACACTGTAATACAATGGAAGGTGAATGGGGTTTAGAGTCAACAAATCTGTTTGAATTCCAGGTTGACTAAGAGCTTTTTGACCTTGAGTAATTTACAAAAAAATCCCAAAGCTTCTTATTTGAAAATGAGACAGTTATCTAGCTTTTTATCATTTGTCTTTCATATTCACAGAGACACTACAAAACCTTAAAAAAATAAAGAATGTCCTATTAATATTTTTCATCATCTCTTTAAAAGTAAAGCAAGGTTCAAAATCACAAAATTTTCTGCTGAAACAAAGCAGAAGCTGATTTTATTTTTCTTTTGGATTTTTGGGTCACAACCAGTAATGCACAGGGGTTACTCCTGGCTCTTCACTCAGGAATTTCTCCTGGCAGTGCTCAGGGGACCATATGGGATGCTGGGAATCGAACTTGGGTCGGCCGTGTGCGAGGCAAAAGCCCTACCCACTGTACTATCACTCCAGCCCCCCAAAAAACTGATTTTTAAAAAAGAATTTAAAGTTAGAACAAAAAATAAAATAAAATAAAATAAAATTAGGACAAATGTGTTACATTATGGAAAAGTAAGTACAAACCCAGTTTAACTGTCTTCAACTCTAGGCATTATGTCATTGCTTCTTTTCTTTCTTAGAAATGGACTTCAAATCTTCTTTTCCTACAGAAAGATGAAAAAAGTGGGGAATATATATTAATTAAGGTGATTTGAATCACATTTTAAAACTGAGCACAGTTTAATTTACCATAAGCAAAGTTAAACTTTTACTTATTTATTTAAATACAAAGCTTATTGACTTTTGTTTTTTAAGTGATTAAATAGCCAAGAGGTTTATAGTTGGATAATACAAAAGAAATAGGTTTAAATGAAAGCCAACCTCAATAAATGAATTTCAACAAAGGATATCTTTATTAGAGTGGCAACTACATAAAAGATTGCATGGACCACTGTAGTTCATCACATCATTAAAAACATATCAAGAACTGCTCATGATCTTAAGTATGAAAGGTTAAAAGTGGTGAGGTACACAACGCTATGTAAATCTCATGAAAGCTATAATTGCATTACTAGAAAACACATTCATATGTATCATATCTTGCATATTTTATTTATTTATATTTGGTTTGTTGGTCACACCTGGCAGTGCTCAGGGTTTATTCCTGGCTCTGCACTCATGAATCACCGCTGGCAGGTCCAGGGGACTATATAGGATACCAGGAATTAAACCTGAGTTGGGCCTCATACAAGGCAAGCACCTTAACCTGCTTTCATTATGGATCCATGTACATAATTTTAGTTGAGTCATTAAACTCGATTGCATCCTTTAGATCTCCAAAACCTGTAAATAAGCTCCCTAACCTGTTTTGGGTTTTTCAAAATAACTTGCTTTGAGTTTTTCCAAATAAATAGCTTTACAGTATTTGAGGATCTTAAGTAATTTAGCAACCTAACAGAAACTGCTATAGGAAAATGAAGAACCCAGAAAGGTACAAAGAATCAAGTAAAGTCTCAATGCATTTAGAAATAGTGAGATGTCCATCTGCCATGAAAATCCATAGACGACTAACGAGGAAGATTTTAATATAATTCAATGCCTTTGAGTTAAAGCAATTTTCTCAAAGGAATCAGGAGATTTTAAAGGGTCATGTGGTCTAAACATAAAAATGTCTTGAGGTCTAAGCATCACTAGTGATCTTTAGGAGAATGAATTTTAGAATTAAATAGATCTCTTTAAAAAATTGATCACAGGGCTGGAGGAGATATGGCGTTTACCTTGTATACGGGTGACCTGGGTTCGATACCCAGCATCCCATACGGTCCCCTGAGTACTGCCAGGAGTAATTTCTGAGTGCAGAGCCAGGAGTAACACCTGAGCAGTGCCAGGTGTGATCAAAAAAAATAAAAACTGATCACAATACAACTAAACTTTCCTATCCTTGGTGGTCTTTTTTTTTTTAATTTAATTTTGGGCCACACCATGATACTCATAACTTCCTTCTGGCTCTGTGCTCAGGGACCAAATGTGATGAAGATGGAATCCTGGTCAGCCATGTGCAAAGTAAGCAAGTGTCCTCCTCTCTGGTCTCCTCAGTGTTTTTGAATATAAAGCAAAAATAATAAAACCTATTCTCATGGGACTATTTTAGGGATAAAATCAATTAACATGTATGAAATATCTAACATAGCATTTAGACATACTTGGTCTTAATGAAATGATTTGAAGTAAAAGAAATTTCTTCTTTTTTTTTTTTTTTGCATCACTCTTGGCAATGCACTGGGGTTACTCCTGGCTCATGCACTCAGGAATTACTCCTGGCGGTGCTCGGGGGACCATATGGGATACTGGGAATTGAACCCGGGTCAGCCATGTGCAAGGCAAATGCCCTATCCACTGTGCTATCGCTCCAGTCCCTAAAAGAAATTTCTTACTCAGTCTTGGGATCCAATGGATCAGTGATTAAAAAGTAAATAAATAAAACAAAATTTCAAGATCAATGAAAAGCTTTCCAGCTGAACAAAACAAGTGCCAACTATTTATTATCTGTTATACAATACACAATTCAACATGCCACTGAGAATATAGTAAGGATAATGTTTAGGGGCTGGAGAGACAGTACAGCAGGTAGGCTTTTGCCTTGCACTCTGCTGACCTAGATTTCATCCCCAGCCCCCATATAGTCTGCTAAACTCCACCAGGAATGATTCCCTGAGCACAGAATCAGGAGTATGCCTTGAATATTACCTAGGTCTGGTTCAATGCCAAAAAATAAGCAAATAAAAGGACTAAAGCTGGGTTAGGGAGATGTCTCATAAGGCTGGTACATATATTATCCACTGGAGAGATGAAAATTTAGAGAAACATTTAATTTGGGGGGGGGGTAGAGGAGTGTTTTTGGCCACACTGGGTAGTGCTCAGGGCTTACTCCTGGCTCTGCGCTGAGCGCCCACTCCTGATGGGGCTTAGTGGACCATATGGTGTGCTGGAGATCCAACCAGGGTCGGTCAGTAGAGTGCAATACTACCCCAGGTACTATATCACTCAGACCTCAGGAGAAATATTCTCATTTTTTTGGTTAACCCCCTACATTCTTATAGGTTTAAGAAGGTATTCCTCCTTAAATAGCACTTACTGAAGAACTTTCCACAAATTTTTTTTAAATTTTGGGTCACATGTGGCTGTACTCAGGACTTATTCCTCGTTCTGTGCTCAGGAATCACTCCTGGTGAGATTGGGGAACCATATGTGGTACCAGGGATAGAAACTAGGTCAGGTGCATCCAAGACAAACCCCTTTCATGCTGTACTATCTCTCTGGTCTCCAAAATTCCAAAATCCTTACATATCCATATAATGTATGATGGTTTACTAAAATTGTGTAAGATCTTAGCACGCCGAAGGTTGTGTGTTCACAGGTTCTCTGGACAGCTCTATCTCACTGCCCACGTTCGGTGCTCTTGAGCTGCTGTGTGTGGCCTGGATCGGGACAGCTGTTGGCCAAGGGCAGACGAAGGAAGAAATGAGGGCCAGGCTGGTCGATATCAATTGTAGTTTATTCCAATCCTCTTTACTCCTGTCTCTCCTCTGCCTCCATCTCTCCTGGGCCCCAATCTGGAACCCCTTCTCCTTCTGGCTCTGACTCTGGATCTCTGGAGCCCGAGCTCTCTCACTTCTGACTCTGCTTGAACTCTCTCACTTCTTCTGCTCTCTCAGAGCTTACATTCTTAGTTTATATAGCAATCATGTAGAGTGGTGACACAAAGGTGGGTTGAACATCGACAAATCAACAAAGAGAGGTAAGAACACTCCTCTAGAGATTAACTTAAGGATAAAATCTCATCTAAAGAGATTACTCCAGATAACTAGGAGATCCGCTCAAGGATGGACCCTAACATGGGTGTGTTCTTTCCTCAGCTAGTAATCTACTTAAAATAGGTGTAGCAAATCTATTTCTAATATTTCTAGTAATGTCATTCTGTGTGAGCACAGTAAGAGATATAAACATCTCATTATACATTCCACAGTCCTCAGGCCAGGTTAGTCTTCCTAGCCCCAGCAGGGTCCTAGTCTCATCGTTACTTACTTTGGATCATGACAGCATTTGTCCATGATCATGCCTTCAACTTATAATTGAGTATCGTGGCACTTTGGCCTGGCCCATTTTGATGCCAGGGTAGCTTACAGCTTGCCCTGGGTCCATTCAGTCCTTCACCGAGACCCTGCTTTTGGGGTGCTAGGAACTAAGGGCAACTGAGTCAAGAAAGCAGATGCCCAGGAGTAAATATCAATCAACTCCCAAGTTACAAAGCATAATATTAACTGTCTTCCTGTGTCCTTCCATTCAGAAAGGGCATTGCTAACAATACAAGTTCAGTGTCCTGGGATGGGTGTGACCCGATAAACCTAAGCTACCTGAGGAAGGACAAAACAGTGTTATCCTACAAAATTGGAATAAGGTAACATAGATTGTCTATTCAGGTTATGCAATCTACTCCCGCTTTGGGGGTGTCTTGGGTTTTTGAGTCCACACCCATTGCGCAAGGGCTATTCCTGGTTGCATGCTCAGGAAGGATCCCTCGCCATATTCAGGGGACCAAATATAGTACCAGGGATTCATTCAAACCAGAGTCTGCTGCATAGAAGTAAGTGCCTTACCTCTATATTATCTCTCTGTCCCTAAGATTATTCAATCTTATGAAACAATCTTTACTTAGGAAATTAGGTTGCTTCAAGTCAAAGGAAGACATTGAAACTATAATAAGCTTAATGTCTAATTCACAAAATACTTAAACTATAAATATTTTGCTTTGTGAATGCTGTATAATTAAAGAATATTACTCCTGAAACTTAGAATATGATCATCACAGAGAAGAGATCTAGAAGATAATTACATACTAAAAGTGAAGATTAGGGTCATCTATGCCAAAATTAAAGAAAGGGGATGAAAATGCTTTCATCTCATCTACAGCTAATGACACAAAACTAATGCTGGCAGCGAAGATGAGAACAATCACCCTAACACCTTAGCTAGAAACCGCAGTCAAGTTAGAAATATATCATCAACAAAAGTAAATCAATCATCCCAATCTGAAGCATCTCTAAATGCAGTCTCTATTCTCTTAATTTTATATACTCAACCAAAGAGCTTTCTAGTAACAACCCAAAGCACATCTCTAGCAAGGGGAAAAGTGATTGGAAAACAGATCTATGCTAACAAGCAGAGAAGCGATTTGGAGCATAAGTCATTTGCATGGAGTTGTCTGTTTTTTCTATCCTTGACTCTGTAAATGCCAACTCCCTGCTCTCAGATTTGCAGACAATAAAAAATGAGATATAAAGCTTAATGTTAGTTTTCAACATAACCCTGATGTTATGTCAGAAGATATGGGTGATTCTTATTCTTGCATAATATCTGCCATTTTAAGACTTCCCTGCTGACATGAACCATCATTCATGAATGAAAGGTTAAAAAATCCTTTTAAGCTGTATTCAAGCAAATTGACAGATATGAATGCACAAACACTATTCTTCCGTTATAAAATCTCCTCACACATAAACACCATTGTAAAATAAATTTCTCTAAGAGAAGAGGAACTGAAAATGCTGCAAGCTTGCTAAATAGAGAAAAAACAAGCTACAAAGGAAGATAGCAGTTTACCATA